GGGGGAGGCCTTCAACGAGATGGATTGATACAGTGGCTGCGATGATGGGCTCGAGTATAGCAGGGATTGTGGGGCTGGTGCGGGATCGGGCAGGGCAGTGTTTCGTTCTGCTGTGCATGGGGTCGCTATGAATCGGAAACGACTCGACGGCACTTAACAACAACAACAACAAATTTGTGTATGTAATATATAAGTTTGAGACACATTGTTTCACATCAGTATTTCTTTTAGGATCATTAAGAGTCTCTCTCATGAAAATTCCCCCAACTTTAAAATTCTAATAAGGAGGAGAACTCCTAAACATTTCCAAAAAACTCATAGGATTAGTTTACTATGTTAAAGGGACCATAGTCTTATGGGACAACCCAGTTAGTTGGTATAACATAGTTCATAAAGATAATGTTCTGCATCCTAGTTTGTTGAGTAGCCTCTGGGATATAAATAGCTTGTGAATGGCTACCTGTGGTGGTTAAGATTGTGTGTCAACTTGGCTGGGCCTGGTTGAGTGGCTGGGCAGCTTGATTCCCCATGATGAGACTCGTAATCAACTCCATGATGGAATCTACTGTGAGCAGCTGAGTAGCTGCCTTTGGGTATGTGGTCTGCTTCCCATATACAAGAAACAGTTTTGGTAATGGCCTCTAGTTTATGGCACGCTTGGACCCTGCTTGTAGCTGAGTCATTGATCAGCAGCCTGTCATGCTTTGCTGACTTTGGGACTTTCAATGGAGTTGAATTACTGGCCTGCCATGTGGTTTGGTAACATCAGGACTGTGCCTTTTTACTTGTCAGCCTTGGGCTTGTCAGCCTCACCAGCCAGCAGCAGTCTGAGTGAAGAAAAGCCTCTACCTTCAGTGGGCTGGGAACAGGAGGCAAAGCTGAAGCCCAAGGCTGAAGGGCTTTCACCCAACCCCTAAAGCCTGGCACTTTGAACTCAGACTTAAAGCCTCCAAACTGTAAGAGAATAAACTCCTGTGTGTTAAGGTCATGTCAGAGCAGCACTAGGTAACCAAAGTACCACCTAAGATATAACTTTTGTTCTCTTCGCATCTGGAACAAAACTGATTGAAGTAAATCAGGCTCAAAGAAAAAATTAGTCTGTAGGACTAATTGCCCACATAAAACTCCTTTAACCTGAGACCAGAACTAGATGGTGCCAGCTATCACTACTGACCGTTCTGACCAGGGACACTATAGAAGGTCTTGGTTAGAATGGGAGAAACACATAGAACACAACTCAAATTCCTAAAAAGACCAGACTTATTGGACTGATAGAGACTACAAGAACTCCTGAGACTGTCACCCAAAAATAAACTTTAATCTGGAACTGAAGCCACTCATGGAAGTAACTTTTCAGTCAAGTAATAGATTGGCTTATAAAATTAACAATATAACCTATGAGGAATGTGCTCCCTTAAACAATCAAATATATGAGACTAAATAGTCAATTTTTATCTGAAAACAAAGATTAGATGGCAAGAAGGGACAGGTAAGTTACATAAATGGAAACAGACAAACAGAATGGAGAATACTGATACACTGTGAAACTTGTAACCAATGACATGGGACATTTTACACAAAAATTGTTAAATGGGAACCTAATTTGCTTATAAACTTTCACCTAAAACACACACATTTTATTTTAAATTCTATTAGGGAGCAGAGACTTTATGAACTAAATAGATACCCATATGTTTTACACACACACACACACACACACATATTACTATTCTGATGCACTAGTGAGACCATTCAACTAAGTATATTAATATAGGCTTAAAGTTATGTGCTATTGATTTCAGTATAATTGTGGATTCAGTGAAAGAAATTTAGAAAGGTTCTTTGCAAAAGAAATTGAATTGTACCAGGTCGTAGAAACATTGTTTAGAGGTATAGATTTGGGAGAAATTAGAGTTTATCAAACCAAAAATGTTGACATAAAAAATTCCTAAAGCAATATAATTCCAGATACCCTGTGTGACCTGGTTCCAATCCATGTATTATGGGTTGAATTGTCCCCACAAAGATATGTTGAAATTCTAACCCCAGAGCTGCAGAACATGACTTTATTTGGAAATAGGATTATTGCAGGTGGAGTTAGTTAAGATCAGACCATTACTTGGGCCTTGATATCTTTATGACCAGTGTTCTTATAAGAAAAGGAAACACACACATACATACACACACACACAGATGAAGAGGAAGGACAGTTGTGTGAAAACTGAGACAGATTGGAGTGAGGCTGCCAAAGAATGTCTGGGGACATCAGAAGCTAGAAGAAGCAAGAAAGAATACTACTCTTGAGCCTTTAGAAGGAGCATGGTCCTGCCAAAACCTTGATTTCAGACTTTTAGCTTCCAAAACCAAGAGAGAATACATTTCTGTTGTTTTAAGCCATCCAATTTGTTATGCAGCTCTAGGAAATTAGTACTATGTATGACCCTTTCCAACACTCTATCCCACAGTTAATGAGGCCCTGATCAGATCATGACTGAGCCCCAGCTATTGGTTCCAAAATCTTCTGTGGAAATCACACCAACCCAGAATGAAGCCGGAACTCTTAAATTGTGTTAATATGTTATTGATGTTTTCTGACCTTTTCCATTGTGTTTGTTTCTCCCAGTGAAGATTCCATTTAGTGTCAGTGGTCTTGATCTAATGAGGACTCATCCTTCATGTGGCATTAGCTTTCTCTAAGTCGTTCATTATGCACCAGTTCCACACAGAGCTGAGCTGAGTTGCAGAGGTGTGGGCAATACCTCCATAGGTGACTTACTTCCATGATCTTCATTGCTTTGAAGGCTTTCTTTTTGACTCAATTTTCTCTTACTTGCCAGGGAATTCTCTGTGCAGAAGAGTATATAGGGCCATGCTTGTCTATAAGTGAGGACTCAGGGCCAGGGCAGAGTATGACCTGTTAGAAATTGGTACCAGGATTTATTTAGGAAGTTTACGGGGCAGGGGGACAGTATCAGATACTTCAGCATTTAGGGATTTTGCTTGTCACAGGAACACTTTACCTTCTAATTGAGAATATCTAGAAAATAGGAACAAGAAAGACATTTGAAAAGTATTAACAATGAGTACACTAAATATACACCTTTTCTTTATATACCATAACTATCAGCAGGAACAATGGTTCTAACTATTCAAGAGTCTGACAACTTTCTTGCATGGGTATAGTAAGCCCAATAAAAATTAATGAGCTTCAAAACATAGGTTGATATGAGGCTTAGTTTTATGTGTTGACTAGTCTATAAAACCAGTAAACCAAATGCACTGCCATCTAGTTTATTCCAACTCATAGCAACACTGTGGGATAGAGTAGAACTGCTCCATAGGGTTTCCAAGGCTGTAAGTTTTTAGGGAAGCAGGCTGCCCCGACATTTTCCCATAGAGCAGCTGGTCGGTTCAAACTGCCAACTTTTTGGGTAGTAGCCGAATGACTTAACTACTGCACCACCAGAGCTCCTCTGACTAGGCTATAAAAAAAAACAAGCTCACTGCCATCAAGTCAATTCCAACTCATAGTGACCCCCTTTAGGTTTCCGAGGCAGTAAATCTTTACAGAAGTAGATTGCTCTGTCTTCCTTCTGCCGAGTGGCTGGTGGGTTTGAACCACTAACCTTCTGGTTAGCAGTCAAATGCCTTAAGCACTATGCCATCAGAACTCTGACTAGGCTATAATACCTAGTAATTTAATGAAATACTAATCTAGGGGTTCGTGTGAAAGTATTTTGTATATATGGTTAACAAACTCATTAAAGATATGATTAACTTTACTTAAAAAAAAAAAAAAATTAAGGAGATTAACCCATAACCTATTGCTGTCAAGTCAATTCCAACTCATAGTGACCCTACAGGACAAAGTAGAACTGCCCCAAAGGGTTAACAAGGCTGTACTCTTTAATGAAGCAGACTGGAACATCTTTCTCCTGTGGCTCGCCTGGTGGGTTTGAACTACTAACCTTTTAATTAGCAGCCGAGTGCTTAACAACTCTGCCACCAGGGCTTCTTAAGTAAAGGAATTACCCTCAATAATGTAGATGAGTTTCATCCAATCAGTTGAAGACCTTAGAGCAAAGAATTGAGATTTCCCAGAAATTAAGAAATTCTGCCTCAAGACTAAAGCATCAGGTCTTGCCTGAGTTTCCAGCCTATAAATTGCAATACTTGTAAGCACCCCCAGTCTCATCAGCCAATTGCTTGAAAAACATATATATATATTTATATATATATATACATACATACATACACAATCTTCTATTGGTTCTGTTTCTAGAGACCGCTGATAAATAAACTGACTGGGTCAGTACTTAGGCTAAAATAAATCAAAAGCCTAGTAGTTTCTGAGAGTTACATATCTCTACAATATTTGACTTAGACAAACATAGAATAATCTTCCAGTGAATAAAGTAAATTTCTCCTGAATCATGAAAATAGTCTGAGATGATATTGGTAAAACCAACTTTTGGTGCCTATCTTTCCCATTAAGGCCTGAAACCATTGGTCTTAACCAGATCTTAGATTCCTATAGAGTTTACAGGATGTTGTTGTCAAACTGGGAGGTTGGGAAGGAGATGAAATGTAAGACCCCAATATGACAAACCAGTTAATGAGAAAGAGTGGAATAGAAACACAAAGACATTAAAGTTTGATTACTCTCATGATTTATTAATATTCAGATTGAAAAAGGAGCCTTAGAGCCGCAAGTTACGCTAATTGGCACATTTGCTTTATTTATTTTTAAAACAATCTGGGTTTTTTTTTTTTTTTTCTTTTTGTTCATTCCATCACATTGAAAAGGAGAAAAAGAAAACTGATTTTGAATTCACTTGATATTTTGGACTCCTCAGATGAATGGAACATTGCACACACACTTGGAACAGAGAGATAGAGAGGGAAGTGGACTCCCACAGGGCCACACGCACCAGATCAAAAAACTTGGATACAGTGCAAGAATTTCCCAAAATGATTGGATCATCATTACCAAAAACTCGCCATAACAACACCAAAAAACAAAAATGTTTAAGCCACACTGTTTGACTTGGGATCTTTCCTGCTTTTTTTTTTTTTTTTTTTTTTAAATTTGCCACACAGAGAGAAAGAGGGCCAGTAGGTGGGAGAGGACAGACTCACAGACGTGAGCAGGACAGGAAGGGAAACTTCAGAGTGGAGCTGAGTAGAGGGTGGGAGGGACAGGGGTCAGGAGAGGGGAGGGCAGGGATGTGGAAAGCCATATCTTAAAGTTCAGGCATGTTCTTGGTCCGCCTCATGTTCTTCTCCTTTACCCTCATCCTGCCGGGCACTTTCCTTAGGTTTGGTTTCATCTACAGCTTCTGAGGAAGAAAACAATATGGGGGAGGGGGGGAAGAAAAGAAGAGTTAGTATTTTCTCTTATCTGCTCATAAGATGATGCAAAGTATGTCTTGTTTTCAAACAATTTCCTAAGAGCTTTAAAATGGAAATAAAAACAGGCAGTTGTCATCGAGTCACTTCCAACTCATGTTGACCCCCTGTGTGTCAGAGAAGAACTGTGCTCTGTGCTCTAGGGTCTTCAGTGGCTAATTTTTGTGGAAATAGATCACCAGGTCTTTCTTTCAAGGTGCCTGTTGAGGAACATGAACCTCCAACCTTTCAGTTAGCAGTAGAGCATGTTACTGTGTGTGTGCCACCCAGGGTCTCCGAAGATAGAAATAGATTATTGCTATCCCAGTAATATAATTTCCAACTTTGGAAGAGGTTACCTCCAGGAGGTTGTTCAGTCACATATACGAAAGAGCTCAAGAACAAAAGTAAGATATTCCCAAAAAACTCACTGCCATTAAGCCGATTCTGACTCATAGCGATACCCATTTGGCTTCCTAGGCAGTAAATCTTTACTGAAGTAGACTGCTCTTTCTTCCTTCAATACTTGCTTCCCTAGAGCAACTGGTGGGTTTGAACCATCAACCTTCTGGTTAGGAGTCAAATGCCTTAGGCACTGTGCCACCACAGCTCCTTAGTGTAGTCTTTAACCTTTCAATTTGGCCATCAGGGTGTCCACATACAGCCTCTTAATATAAGGAATCAACAATCATCTTGTATCTCTTTTCCATCACAGTCAGACTAATTATGACACATACTTTATGTGAGTTGTTCAGCATCCATTCTAACTCTCTTATTTCTTGGTTTATAGTACTAGAAATGTTAGAGAGTGAAATACTTGAATTCCAGCTCCTCTTGGAGCTATAGGGAGCCATGTGACACAGTTCTGGCCAATGAGTTGGAAACAGGATTCCCTGGGGAGACCTTCCCTTCCCAAATATAGGCATACATCATTTTATTGTGCTTTGCAGATATTTTATTTTACAAATTGAAGGTTTGTTACAATCCCATGTCAAGCAAGTCTATCAATGCCATTTTTCCAACAGCATTATGCTCACTTTGTGTCCCTGTGGCACATTCTGGGAATTCTCACAATATTTCAAACTTTTTTTATAATGCTAGTACATACTTAATAAACTATAGTATAGGGTAAACAGAACTTCTATATTCATTGGGAAAACAAAAAATTTGTGTGACTCACTTTATTGTCATTTTGTTTTATTGCAGCATTCTGGAACCAAACCTACACTATCTCTGAGATATGACTGTAAGAGCAAAGGCTCCAAATAAGGGATGGCAAAGGCCCCCCTTCTGGATGACTAAGACATCAAAAAATACTTGGTAGAATAGTAACTATCTTATGACCATGAAGACAAAAACTGTACACTAAAGATGGTAGACCAGAGGGATAGAAAGAACAAACAATCATTGTTTCACTGGTCTACTCCTTCATGCCTTTCCCTTCGATTTCTTACTGTGTGAGACAAATAACTAAACTGTTCAAACCACTGTAGTAGTTTTCAATTCCTTGCAGCCAAACACTTTCCAGTGGAATACACTTATCCATAGGGCAAATACTATCTTTTTGAAGGATAATTTTTTTTCCTCAGCAAGCAGGAGACTTTTTCTAATAACTTATCTGTCTAGCTCCTGTATAAAACTCAGTGACCTGATTTTATGCTACAAAATAGTTCACCAATATGCCAGCTACTACAAAGAGAATTCATTTTCCCTGAAGACTGTTGCATTATCAACTGATAAACTCCCTATGTTGGGGTCCCCAAGACCAAAGCGAGGTTTGACAATTCCTAAGGAGCACTCACAGAACTCAGCATATAGTTTTACTCAAGGCTATGATTTATTACAGTAAAAGAATACAGACCAAAATCAGTAAAGGAAAAAGTTGCATGTGGCAAATTCCAGAGGAAATCAGGCACAAGTGTCCAAGATTCCTTGACCTGTGACCTTTCATTCCTCTAGCATCAAATTGTGACATTATGTGTGAAATGCTGTTTACCGGGAAGCTCACTAGAGACTCAGTGTTCAAGGTTTTTATTAGGGCTGGTCATGTAAGCACCCTCCACCTAGCATGTACCCAAATCCCAGACTCCCAGAAGGAAAGCATGTGTTTAGCACAAACCACATTGTTCATACAGTTTAGGCACAGTAGACCATTCATCAGTGGGGGAATGGTGGGAACCCTGCAGAAATCCAAGTTCCTAGATCCAGTTGAGGGCTAACCTCGCAAGTAGACCTTTCCTTTCTTTCTTTCTTTATTTTTTTATTTTTTTTATTTTTTATTGTGATTTGGGTGAAAGTTTACAGAGCAAATTCATTTTCCATACAGCAGTTTATATACATTTTGTTTCATGATGTTGACTATAATTCCCCACAATGGAACAGTTCTCTTCTCATTTCCTCCCTGTAGTTACCTCTTTCCTGTGTCTTTCTTTCCTATTATATCCTGCCTCCTGAGCTATCTCCCTGTGCAAATACTGCCCTTCCATTCTCCCATGATTGATCACTCTAAGGATTGTATCTACCTAATGTAAATGTTCACCCCATATACCTGACTATTGTTTGGCTGTAAGCCAAGGAGTGAGTTTAGTTCCAAATCTGAAGGGTAACTAGGGGCCATAGTTTCAGGGGTATCACCAGGTTCCATAAACCAGCAAACTTGGTCTTTCTTTCTTTTTTTTTTTTTTTATGATTTTGCATTATGTTCCACATTGTTCTCCCACTCTATCCAGGGTCTCCTGTATGGATTCCCCTCTGAGTGGTTGACAGTGATAGCCAGGAACCATCTATTTCTTCCAGTCTCATGGTCATGTAGCAAGTAAGCCTTTCTTATTTCATGCTACAAAATAGTTTACCAATATGCCAGCTAGTAGAAAACCTTAAGCTTATTACGTTAACTCTTTTCTGCATAATCCTCAATGTTTAAAATGCTGTATCCTTTAAAGTGAAGCTATTGTTAGCTACTGATATTTCTTAAGAAGTTGTATTTAAAGGCAATAGAGAACCTTTGATAGCTGTTTAGCAGAACATATAATACAGCTGTGCTTTCAGAAGATGAAACTAGCAATATTGTATAAGGTGGATTTGGTGTTGGGAGGAGATGTCAAGTCTAGAAAATGAATACCATTTAGGAAAGCATTAGATGAGCTTATGAAAATATATGTCTCTTTTAAATCAGGCAGCTAAATATTTATATTGGGATAAAGCTAAACATTTACATTCAAATAAGACTACCACTACTAAATACAATTTTTGCAATACTTTCTTTGGAACATCTATCAAATGATACTCTTTCAAAGCTCTTCAGTAGCAAAAAGCATTTAACTCCTTGAAAATGAGCCTGGTTTTTGGAATCAAACTAGAGTGGTTTGGTAAATAAGTAAGCAGCTATGATGAGTAATTTTACTTTATAAAAACTCATTTTTGACCAAAGTTTATAAGTCTGATTTACTCTCTGTGGGGTTTGTAACTGGCTGTGTAGGCAATTTCTGAAAGGTAGTAATTTTAGTGTTGCTATTTAGTGTACTGCCTAAGGCACTTGACTGCTATCCAGAAGGCTGGAGGTTCAAACCCACCAGCCACTCCTCGGAAGGAAGGTTGGGCAGTCTACTTCCGTAGTGATACTGCCTCGGAAACCCAGGAGGGTTCGCTGTGAGTCAGGTCTGACTCATAATACATAACAACAACAACATTTACTATTATTCATAAAGATATCTTAAAACTGTACTTTACTAAGGTGACCATTATCAACTCTTTAAGAACCAAGGCCCCAATTACACGTTCCAGGAAAAAAATTTAGATTAACGCAATTCTGATCATCTTAATGTTCTCTTCACTAGTAATCTTCCTCATGGACTACAGAACTTTGATGTGCTAATGAATCAGTGACTTTTCTTCCAGAAGAACCCTACTAGATTTGTGTCAATGGGGTCCATCTATGAAAACTTGGAATTCTTGTAGAGAATTTACTTAGTTCCCTTGGCACTGCCCAAACATTTGGATACCACAGGAGTGTCTAAGGCATTTTACTATCCTTATCAGCTCCAAGAAACAACATATTTAGTAGCCTCTTTGAACTGCAAAAGAAATATTGGTTCAAATGACTCAGAGGCATACAGAAGGATTAGCAGTAAAAGCAAGAAAAGACTTCAAATTTCTCTACAAAAAAAAAAAAAAGGAGCTAATATATGAGATATGAGAGAGATTAGGGAATTCAAGAGAAAAGGTAGAGGGTAGGCTGGGTAAGATAAGAAGAATAGTATAATTTTAGAATAAAGGCAAGAAAACTCAAAGAGGGGAGAAGGGAACAAAGAATCAGGATTCTGAGAAGTAGCCACACTTCCTACCCCTTGTTTGAGTAGAATCAAGTTAATTCCTCCAAGACTCCTCCACTTTCTCTTGTCATTCTTTTTCTTGGCCTAAGAGGAAAGGTGAGTCCCTGCGTGGGTTAAATGCTTGACTACTAGCCGAAATGTGCCTAGGAAGGCCAGCTTGACAACCTGCTCCTGAGTGGTCACAGCCTTGAAAACCTATGGAGCAGTTCTAGTCTGCACACATTGGGACACAGGTGGTCAGAATTGGTTCAACTCCACAGCAACTAACAATAACAGAAGAAAAAGCAAAGTTTGACACACATGTGCTTAATGTGACAGGAAGTCATTATTGCCTATTTCGTATCTAGAGAGCTTCAATATCTAGATATTCTCTCCTCCAAATGCCTCAAATTATATTAAATATAATTATTCATTCATTTATCCAATAAATAGCTTTTGAAATTATAACATGCCAACATTCTTCTATGTGTTGAGAAATAACAGAGAATAAAATAGTTAAAACATCCTTGGCATCATTGATGCCTTTCATTATATACCTTTAACAGATAATGATATTCATAATCATAGATTACAAGTGATGGACCTTTAAAGTCACCTCATCACTAAACCACAAATACTTC